AATGAAAACGTTTCAGCTTAGAGTGAACTAGAATCTGAACAGCCGTCTTAGGATAGTTGTAGTTCCGACTCATGGTGACCCTGTATAGGTGACTCTGTAAAGGTGAGCTTTAACACTGACCTTGTGGTCCAGCACATTAACCCGCAGTGGTACCACACCAGGACAGCGGTCATAGCTACAATGTAACTCCCTCCCTTTTCTAGCCCCATGCCAGAATTAATCACTCCTTTCCAATCTCCAAAACAGACCTTGCAGCTCAAATGGGGGAAAGTAGCTCTCCTCCCAGCAGCAAAGGCCAAATCAGCAAACAGGAATGGCTGGAACAGTTAGAATGCTTGGGTGATGACCACCCTAACTACTAGAACAGAAAAACAATCCAACCATGCCTGACCACACATCCCAGGATCTTCCAGGCTGCCCTCCAGGTGGGGAGGCAGATTTGGGAGATTCCTCCTCCCCTGTCTTTCAATAAACACTTTTCTCTTTGCTCTGAGCCCTGTCTCTGAGTATTAACTGTGTTTGGGGCAGAAGACTAGAACCCCTTTTTTGAGGTTACAGACAGAAATGACTTCCTCTTGAGTTACCCTGAATTTGGACTTCTAGCCTACTAAACAGTGAAAATAAATTTCTACCCATCGTCCACTTGGGGTATTTCTGTTATAGCAGCTCTAGGGAACTAAGGGAGTTGGCTTGTTTTCATTCTATACAACTTTTAGAAAATTAACAAGATACCTTGTCTGTTTCCTGCTCTCTTCTGAGCGGATGGGCAGGTGGGATGTCTCTGTAGGATTCCCAGCATGCCTTGCTCTCCCTCCCTTGCCACTCGATTTACATGGTGGGTGAGCTCCAGTGGATGTCCTCGTGGGCATGCCCATGTTTGCCAGGAGACTCATGGTTCCAGAAGCCTGGTCAGTTATGGCCTGGCCTCTCGAAGGCTTTCTCTTCACAAGCAAGCCCTCTCATCCCACACCTGGCGCCTATGTTCATAAAGACACTTGCTCTTCCGTCTGTTGTTAACAGTGTTCTTTTTTTCCGGGAGAACATTCTGCCAGTGTCTCCCCCCTTACCCGTTCCTCCCATTTTCCCATTTAACATATTTTATCAGAATGAAATGTCTTAATGAGCACAGGACCACAGCTGATCCCAGCTGCACTTCACAGTGCCTGCCTGCGCCCTGCTCCCATCAAGCTACATTCACGGTCACCATGATTGGGGCTTCATTCAGGAGCACACACCCCCCAACGATGACAGGAAGCTCATCAACTTCCTGTAGACAGAAATGGGGGCAGAAAAGTACCCCCAAACCTCTGACAGGAATTTAATGGAGGGGGTGCAGAGAGAAGTGGGAGGGGAAGAAAATGTGACTCTAGATGTTGTTGTTAAGTACGGACTCCTAGCAACCTCACAGGGCAAAGCCGAACTGTCATCTATACTGGTGGATTCGAACCACCGACCTTGCAGCAACACTTACTGCTGTACCACCAGGGCTCTGTGAGAATATGTGTGTGTCCATAGTGGCGGGGAGCAGCAGGAGGAGAATCCTCACAGGACTTGGGGTTCATCTGGAGATGACTCTGGTGTGGAGGCCACGAGGGAGACACAACGTTCTATTTGTTAAAGACCTGTCCGCACGTAAGAACCAGCTTGGAAGGAAGGATAGGTGGAAGTTTAATGGGAAGTAGAGTGCCATGAGATGCTCTGGACACCAGGTCCAGCAGGCCTGAGACAGCTCCCAAATGCTGTCTGCGGGGTCCCCTTGGCAGCGTGAGCAGGTGGGTGCCCTGTTCAGCCTGCGGATGGCTTTACTCATCGACGCACAGCCATTCAGAGTGAGGGATGCAGCCACAGTCTCCACCTTCCTGAAGCCGGTTCCCAGACGGCACCAACACTGCTGTCGTGCCCAATCAAGTCAGCTCCAGTTCATACAACCCCATGGGATACTGGCTTCCTCTGGAGCCTAGGTTAGGCATTGGGCTGCTAACTGAAAGGTCAGTGGTTCAAACCCTCTAGCCGCTATGGTAAAGATGAGGCTGTCAGCCTTGGAAAGCCTAGACAGGATCATTGTGAGTCAGAATCCATTCGATGGCAGCGGGCAACCTTTACAGGGGCAGGTGACCAGGCCTTCCTTCTGCATTGCTGCCGGGTGGCCAGCAGCTATGAGTCAGGATCAACGTAATGTCACCTAATAACAGTGATAAACAGTGCTGGTGAGGATGACAGAGAAAACTCCCAGGAGTCTGGGATGAGTTAAATCAGAAGTTGGCCAATTATGGTCCTTGGGTTAAATCCGGCCCACCGCCTGGCTTTGTAAATAAAGCTTTATTGATACACAGTTCACATATTGTCTATGACTGCTCTCACACTACCTGGCAGAGCTGATTCATTGTTACACAGGTGGTCTGTAAAGCCTGAACTTTTACCATCTGGCTCTTTATAGAAGAAAGTTTGCCACCATCTATGTTAGATCAAAGGAACCCTGGTAACGTAGTGGTTAAGTTCTTGGCTGCTAATCAGAAGATTGGTGGTTCAAACCTACCAGTCACTCCACGGGAGAATGATGTAGCAGTCTTCTTCCGTTAGGTGACAACCGTGGAAACCCTAGGGGGTAGCCCTACTCTATCCTACAGGGACACTATTAGAAGGGATTGAGTTGACAGCAGTGAGATTTGGAAGGAGATCTAGGAAACCTGGTGGTACAATGGTTAAGAGCTTGGCTGTGGACCGAAGGTTGGCAGTTTGAGTCCCTTCAACTGCTTTGCGGCAGAAAGACCTGTTGATCTTCCATAAAGTTGTTGTGGTGATGTGTCATAGAGTCCGTTTCAACTCATAGCGACCCTGTACAGGGTTTCCGAGGCTGTAAATCTTTACAGGAGCAGAAAGCCTCATCTTTCTCCTGAGGAGCAGTTGATAGTTTCAAACTGCTGACCTTGAGGTTCACAGCCCGATTCGTAACCCCTACGCTCCAGAGCTCCTTAGAGATAGCAGTGTAGAAAACGTAATGGGGCAGTTTTCCTATCCCATAGGGCCCCAACAAGTCCAAATCGAATCGACAGCCACAGGTTAGATCATTGATCCGCTAACTGGTGATTTCGTGTCACAAGCACAAGGCATTAGAAAAAATCGGAACCACACAATGAAAGAGCGGCGCCCTGTCCAGATCGCTCTGGATCCTGATGGCTTTCCAGGAGAGCATGCCCCTCTGGTTTAGGGTGCCTATAGGACCCCCCAAAACTCGCACCGACTGAAAGCAGCACTTAGACTCGGGGCGCAGACAGGCTGGCCCTGATTGGCGGGTTTTGTCCTCTGCTTCTTTCTGTAGGCAGCTTCCCAAGCCTGGTCTCACATGATGTCTTCTTTCGGAACCAACTAATTTTTGTTAAAAATGAATCCTTTGCATTACACCCAGAGACAAAATGCAATTGCAGAAGAACGCACACTGCTGACCCTATTTCTATGATGCACCCGGAATCAACACGTTCATGGAGACAGGAAGTTGATTCGAGGTTATTGGCGGGTATGGGAAGGGGTCATGAAAAGTAACTGCTACCAAGAGCAAGGTTTCTCTTGGTTGTTGTTGTTAAGTGCCGTCGAGTCAGTTCTGACCCATAGCAATCCGGTATAGGGTTTCCAA